TAACTTCAACATCGGCCTGGAAAAAACATCAGCAAACATTGAAGAGTTAAATATAGTATTAAAAACTTGTTCTTATTTTTGTTGACTTCAAAACTCATGATGATATGAAGCAAAACCTGTGCAGCTGTTATTCCTTTGATTTCAACATTTTCGTCCAATTCGAGCTCTCTATTTCTCATTCTCACGTTCTTCCTTCTTAGAGACACTAACTCTTCAATAGGCCATTGGACCACCTGCTTTCTACTTGTATCAAGCCATACTGTCCTTGGAATTGCCTGAATTCCGGCCCACCCTTTCATAGCATCATCTCTAGCAGAATCAGACTCATTAACCCAACCCCACAAGACCCTCCTATTCATGGAAGTATCAAAAAATGTCTTTGAGGCATAGAAATTTCCATAGTCATATCTAAGACCAGCCCACCCATCAATTGAGGTATTATCAGGTACATACTCATCTTTCCTAGGGAAATACGTACCCACTGTGTAGTAATCATATCTGGTTTCATCCAAGCTCACCTTCAACACATGCTTCACATTATCCCCTGAGGCAGAGGTTTCTAGCCCTGTTTGATCAAAAAGTGAAATCGGGAAAAAATCTGGGCATTCCCACATTCCAGTGTTGGGAGCTGAATGCAGAGGGTGTTTTGCCTTAATCCAATGAATAAAATCCTTACTCCTGTACAACAATGCCATTCCCCTGCGTTTCCTTTTGCCACCCACCAACATTTTCCAGTGGCCGTTGCTAAACCAGGCGGTGGTGGGGTCACGGAAGGCAGTGGCGTTCATATCGTTACCAGGGACCAGCAGAGGGTTGTTGGCGGGTTTGACCCATTTACGGAGATATGGGTCGGATGCATTTGCTGGGATTGCATAGTTTTGGACTTGTCTGTTGTGTAGATCACGTCCTGTGTAAAGTATCACCGGTTTATTGCCGAGAAGAATGGTGGTGGAGCCGGACCAAACGCCGTTTATATCGTAAGGCTCTGAAGGCCATATTGCGGGTTCGAGCGCCTCCCAATTGATCATGTCCATTGACACCGAATGACCCCAGACAATGTTTCCCCATACTGAACCTTGGGGATTGTATTGGTAGAAGAAATGGTATACTCCCTTGAAGTACATAGGACCTGTTTGCATGAATATTGTCAGTAAGCAATTTTGTTGAACATGTAGCAAACACAATTGGCTGTGATTATTGTTACATGAAAATTTGTTAAGAGTACACACAATTTCAATGATATTTTATTAATTTATTTTTTAAATAATTAATTATAACATCTGAAAATGTCTATTTATAAATTGATTTTAATTAATTAAATAATAAAATATTTAATATTTAATAAATTATTAGATGTCCTTGATAACCAAGCTAAAATTAAAATTTGACTTTCTGTGTGACTTTAACAAATTTGGTATGCCCATAAGCATAATCAACACAATTACTCAAGGATTTGGAAGGAAATTATGAACTTACCATTTGGATCTTTTGTCCATTTGTTCATCAATCAGATATATACCCAAAAAGGAAAATCAAAAAGAAGAAAGAAATGAGTTAGTGACAACATCTTCAAAATCATATTATTAGATAGTCTATAAAGAAAGAAACTTCAAAGTTAATAAAGTTAACATTAACAACATTTTCAAAATCGTACTATCAGATAGCTTATAAAGAAAGAAATTTCAAATTAGTTAATAAAGGTAAAGTTTTCCCTAATTTTTCATTGCAAATACTATTGATTGAATTGTAAATATAACATATCAAATTTTGTATATTTTACATTAAAATAGAAACATATATGAATGTAACTAGTATATAATTAGACACCAATCATGATAAACGTGAATATTCCTCCCCTATCTTCCTTTTGTTTTGGGTTGGGCAAGTTAGGAAGCAGTGAGAGATCATCTTATGCTTTTTGTCATTTTCAAGGACAAAACAAAAGATAAGGGAAAACAAACAAGCAACATATTCATGCTGAAGTAACTGAAGTTGCATGGAAATGGCTGCTTCTTTTTGAGTAGGGGAGAAAAGTATGTAGATCGAAACTAATCATATGGATGAAATATTGGATATCCTATGCAAAAAGGGAGGAGTATGGAAGTGGCTCCAACAATAAGTGGTGCCCCTTTTGCTGATTTGCAGTGGACCACCAAAGCAGATGGTGCTCGGAGGGGTTTAGGTGGTCGAAAACACACATGTACACAACTTGAGCACTTTCATTATATATTCATAGTGAAGGTGACATTCACTACATATCGTTTTGCCAACTGCCAAACAAACTAAATGTTGACAAGTGATGTCAAAAGGACCAAAAGGTATGAAAAAGATAATCTTGGGTCAAACCCAAAGAAGAGGTAATCAAGATGCCAAAAGGCCTAAAAAAAAAAAAAAGGTGAATCCAGTCATGATTGAGGTGTTTCCAACTCAAGATCTTTCAACACTTCAATCCTCCTTTTAATCAATATAGAGAGTGTAAAGGAAGATTCACTTACATATAAATCTTATACATATTACACTTATATAAAATTTCAATCATTTATCTTTTTATTTTTAATGATTAAAATTTATTATGATTTTTTAAATTTCCACCATTAAAAGTAAAAAAATGAATAATTAAGATTTTGAATAACTATGACATATAAAATTTGTATGTAAATAAATTATTTTTTAAAGTATAAACATTAAATTTGAATTTAATATTTTTGAAATAGGATAATTATTCCTCTGTATTTATTTGGAGAACGGGAAAAGGGTGGCTTGGGTTCAAAGTTCAAACAGAATGTCCTCCACTAAGAGAACTTAATTACTTTTTTTTTTGCACTTACCCTGTAGAGTCGATATGGAGGACGTCTAGCAAAGGTGTTTGGCAAGAAAATAAGTAGAGGTCCTCTCTAATGGATTTCCTCATTCAAAAAATATAATAAGAATAATAATAATAAAACCTAACTAACTAACTAACTTGGAACTTATTAGAAACCATAGTACTTTGATTTTTATAATAAGTGTAACTAAACCATCATCTTCACCTTTTGTTTGACAAAGAGCCAAGGTTTAGCTTTATGAGAAATTCGTCCGTACATTGAATTACCCCCGTTAGTGATATTTCTGTCTACTAAATTAGCAATATATCAATATTTATAATCACCACTTATAATTAAAAAAAATTACTTAATTATAAGGAAAGCCACACATGCTAATATATCTTTTCAGTCCAAGACGGGGACACGTATTGAAAGAATTTCCTCAACCCAACATGGCAGGTAGAAGTCATTTTCAGCACAAACATTACCGCGTGGGGATTACCACCCCAAAAAAACCAAAGCACAAAAAGTAATACTCGATCTCTTAACCATTATCGAGTACTTTTGAATTAATTTTTAAATTATAAAATTTGTTAACTTAATCTTAAAAATTTTTTAATTTAGTTTTAAATTGTTCTTTCATTTAAAAATAACTAATATATATTATTATTAACATGATACATAATAATAATTAAGTGATGATATTTTATAATTAAGTAATTGATAAATCAATTATTTTTTAATAAAAAGTTAATTTGGAATCAAATTTAAAAATATTAAAGACTAAATCAAGAACTTTTTTAATTTTAAAATCAATTCCTGAGTTCGTATAATAGTTGAATGAACATATTCAGAATTTAACCAAAAGTAAGTAGATTCAAGGTTAAGTGATGTGATCTCCAAAATGTCATCTTAAGTAAGAAAAAAAATAATAATCTTTAATTATCATATAATGTTTTGTTTGGTAACAAATAATGATAAATTATATAAAAATAAAATCTATTATTTTACGATCTAAATTATAAAATATAAACCCTTAAATAAAAAAAAGAGCCCTAATATCAAGAACTCATCTTCTATCAAATGCCAAATTTTTATAATTTAAAATAATCTAAATTGTAAATCAATTTCTTCTTAACAATATATGAATGAGACAAAGTAAACTACAGCATCATCTGGGCCATTTCTGCAACTTAAAAATTCCTTATTTCATTCAAGCACTCAGATATTTCAAAAAGAAAAAAAAATCCACGCACTCAAAAGAATAATTATGAAATAAAATTTATAATCCATTGCACGTGTTCCTTTGATTTCCCTAACAAATGCATCATATCTTTCATTATGAAATAACTAAGGTACTGTTTGACAGTTTTTTAAAACAGTTACTCAAGCAGAAATTAAGACATACAATGGAACGCTACCTTAAACCACAAAGCCTAAATTACACTGCAAGTTCATGACATGAGTAGTTGAGTACTTAATGTATATATATGGTCTATTTATCTACAACGAGGTATTATCATTAGATGTAAAATAAATAAATAAAACAAGATGAAAGCAGCATTGATTTTTATATTTTTTTAGGAAAAGAGAAGATGAGACAGAGAGGGCAGATGAAGAGAAGTTGTACCGTTGATCCAGTTCTTGGGAGGTTGAAAATGGTAAGCAGTTCGATGGAGTTGATCCACTTGAACTGAACGCAGGGTCTGAAATTCTGGAAAAATTAGGTGAGAGGCATCGACACCATTGTTAAGGTTGGCCAACAGAGGAAGATAAGAGAGTAACATAAAAAGTGAGAGAAACTTTGGAAACTCCATTTGAAAACAAAGACAGAGAAAGAGGGGGGGAGATGATAAGTTAAAGAGTATGAATTGGCATTTGGCAGCATGGATCTGGGTAGTTATTTATAGGCAAGAAGAAAGGGGGGTGGTGGGTTTTGCAAAATTCCGGTTGGACCAACAATGCAGTAACCGCTTAAATTTAGAATAGATGTTACTAAAACTAGATAAAGATATGGCTAAATATGTTTATAATTGCCAACCATCTAAACAGTTTAATGGTAATTTATTTTAAGTAAAAATAAGAGATTTTAAATTTGAATTACGTGACATGCAAATTAAATGGGTAAAGAAATAAGAAAGAATTGTATTTTTTTTTTTATCTTGGTTGTACAATTGGAAGTAACAATCTCTCATCCCTTATCAATTTCTCATCTCTTATCTCACTCTCACTCCACTCATATGCTATGCTATTCGAATTTAAGACCTCTTACTTCCAATAAAAAGTGATAACCACTGAGTTATTTAAGTCGTTGACAAAAATTAATTATCTTATATTATTATGTAACCCAAAATAACATAAATATATATATATGTATTCTTTTTAGTCCAATAATAAAAGTCACTTTGTTTTTCACTAATAACTTTTTTGATGGATACAAATAATTCCTTATAATTTGCTAAGTATACATAATATCAATCAATCAACCAACTGCACTGTAATACACTCAAATGTTTAAATTTAATTATTTATAACAAACCAATATAAAGCTGGACAACATCTCATATAAAGTAAGGCTTGAACCTAAAACTTAATTAGGTACCCAAACCCCTGGCTTAAGGGCATGTCAACGGGGCTTCATGGGGCCGGGGAGTCCCTCTCCATCCCAGTCCCCACCATTGGGGATCCTCGTAGGGGATTTTTTACGAGG